GTACCCAATGAAACCAAGAGCCATAAATGTACAGCAAGATGAAAAATTCCAAGTCAGAGATAAACATATGCCCTGCTTGTCATTCATAAAAGTAAGTCTACTCATGTCTGTTTGTTAGTAGAACTACTGCTACCTAGGGAATAAATATGCCACAAGTGGACTGCTTATTAAATCCAAATCAGGGATAAACATATGCCCTGGACTGAACATGTCACGAAAAGTTTATTCACAGACACTGATATTAACTTTGGTAAATTATGTCCGACGACATCGTATAAACACGTGTTCTTGCCTAGGTTGAACGTTTGTCACACTGCTATGCACGCATAATGAAGTGTTTTCATTTAATATATCATTATAAAAATACATATTTTTAAAAACAGATGCTGTTCAAAATTGTCACCAAATGTTGTATGCATCAGAAATTAAAAGGTTATCTCCCTTGAAATGTCCAGGGTTGGTAATTTCCCCTTAACGCCAATCAAGATGGAAAAGGCGGAAGAGGAGGTATCTCTACTGGATGTCTGTCTGCCCAAGTAGCCAGTTCCAAGAATTGCTGTACCTTGGAACGAGAAAGATAGTCACATAGCAAATTTTCTTTGCTTGACAAATGTATTGCTCTAAAGTAAATATTAAATTCTAGACAGGTTAGCACCAGTTTCCTCAACAAAAACATTATGTGTTTATCCTTAGCTGTTTGCTTATTGATCACATGAACCAGTGCATGATTGTCAGTGTTAAACAAAATACATTTATTAGCAAGGTATTTTGACCACGTTTGCACAGCAAGTACTATAGGATAAAATTCCAAAATAGCAATATTCTGGTATCTCCAATTAATATCCCAATTTCCTTGAAACCACTGACTACCAAGCACTGCAGAATATCCAATAGACCCTGATGCATCAGTATACAACTTTATTTCAGTAGAATTTAACCACCTATCGGGCAAAAACATGGTAGATCCATTGTAATTTGAAAGAAAACTCAGCCAAACATTTAGATCTTCTTTACTTCCTTTGTCATTCTAATTTTATAGTATTGTTTTTTAATTCCAATAGTCAAGTCTATCAGTCTCCTAAGAAAAGACCTACCGGGCAATACTACATTACATGCAAAATTCAATAAACCTATCAGTGACTGCAATTCCTTGAATGTCAATTTTTGTTGTTGTAAACTTGATTCAATTTTCGTAACACACTTAAGGATCTTATCATCTGGAAGCCTAGATTCCATTTTAACTGAATCCAATTCATATCCCAAGTAAGTTATGATCTGGCTGGGTCCACATGTTTTTTCAAGTGATATTGGGACCCCTATATCCATCAACATATCGAGGAATGCCTTCAACTGTTTAACACATTCAGTAGTGATTTATTAATGATTATAAAATCGTCTAAAACATGGGATATGCAAGATATTTTCAGTTTATTCTGAGCTATCCATTGTAATGCTGTTGAAAATCTTTCAAAAATTCTACAAGAAGAACTAAGACCAAATTGCAAGCAGGAGTCCACATAATATTTGTTATTCCACTTGAAACCTAAGTACTTAAATTGTGATTGATGCATGTTGATAATTCTAAAAGCCGATTTTATATCTGTCTTGCAGCAGTATGCACCTTTTCCACAATTTTTTATTAATTGAATAGCATCTGAAACCGATGAGTATTGAACAAATGACTCATCCGGTGGAATCCCATCATTGATGGACTTGTTTTCTGGATATGATAGATGATGAATCATTCTGTATTCCCCAGGTTCTATCTTTTCAACTAAGCCTAATGGAGAGCATTGTAAATCAGGTATTGGTTTGATTTCAAAAGGTCCATAAACCCTCCCAGCCAAAATTTCCTTTTGTATCTTACTAGATATAACCTGTGGGTTTTGGAAAGCAGAATTTAAATTCTTTGATTCAATACCAGGGCATTCACCCACAAAACCCAACGAAAACCCATTAGAGAAACCATTTATTAGATATTTGGATTCATCTTCATCATATCCAGCTAACCATTTTGCCAATCTACTTACTTTTACTGGTGTCATTCCTTTGTTTGGAAGGGTTGGTAAATTCTTTGTTATTTTTATTTGTTTGGGTGTAGAATTTTCTAAGGAAACGAAAGGGCTGCTGTGTTTGTTTGTTACAGTGATTAAATGGGTGGTTGCTGCCACAGTTGTAACACATATGTTGGAAACGAGAGGATAGACCTGCACGACACTGCTTACCTGCATGAAAATTGAAACAAGCCCCTTTTGGGATGGGCCCTGACGTTGCGTCTTTATTTTCACTACTTACTTTTGTCAATAGATCAGTTTTGAGTCTAGCATTTACATACAATTCCATGTGAACATCACCCCATGCAACCTGTCCTTGAGACACAAGCTGTCTAAATTCTGCATCGTAATTTTTCCAATTACCTTTGGCATCAGCAATATCTCTCACTGCCTCTAAATGCTTGGCTAATTTTGACTGCTGTTCAGGGTATTTTATACAATATATTGCTGCATACCTGTTCCAAGCTGTAATCCAGTCATGCATAGAGGAAACATTTGACTTGTTTTCGGCATCGTTCTCAACCTGGTGAATGGTTAACTTCCCCTGAGTATCACTATTTTCTACTTGCAAAGAGAACTTACCCTTCTTCTGTTTTTCCTTTGATAAAAGTTTAACAAAATCAATGCACTGATTAGACCATATCTTAGCCTTGATTTGGTCAGACACCAGAGCTTCTATTGGCACTGCTGTGCTGACAAATCCTGTTTGTCCCCTACCTTTATTTGACTCAGTGGCCTCGGGCAATACACTAGATTGAGCATTTACAGTGACACTACTATCTGAGATGGCAATCTGTGGAGATGCTTGCACATTACTATTGTCTATACTCCCCTGATTATTCAAATTCGATGATCTAGTGTTGACAACTTCATTAATAAGTGTTGTTATTGAAGCCGTAACCCTATCAGTGACATGCAGTTTTGGTGATTTCTTCCACCACATCATCAGGTACCGAGATCTGGTCTGCTACCAACCGTCTTTTCTTTCCTTGTCGGGAAGTAGTGGGTGGAACCGCTCGTGCCCTACTTGACTGTCTCTTTGGAGGCATTGTATATATACTGAAAATATATACTTCTAATTCTTTAGTGATGCTGTAAAAAGAATTACTTTTTGTCAATAAAAGGTAAGAGATATGATGAGATCTATATTTTCTAGAGATTTGTCATGTAAACAACAACAAATAGATAAATACATGTATCTTAAATCCGTATTTTCTTTTTTTTTTTTTTTTTTTTTTTAATTTTGTCAAATACTAAACATATCCGAATAAGGCAGTTACCCTCTTAAGTAATGCTGATTTCCAAAAGTAAAATCTCACCATAGAATGTTTAATATCTTGTCCTCAGGAAACACAAACAACTTGTGTTGATCCTTATGAGGAAAACCTCAAGAGAGGAGTTTTAACACAATATTGTCCTCAGGAAACACAAACAACTTGTGTTGATCCCAATGAGGAAAACCTCGATAGAGGAATTTGTAATATTTTCCTCAGGAAACACAAACAACTTGTGTTGATCCTAATGACGAAAACCTCAGTAGAGGAGTTTGTAATATTGTCCTCAGGAAACACAAACAACTTGTGTTGATCCTTATGAGGAAAACCTCGAGAGAGGAGTTTTAATCAATATTGTCCTCGGGAAACACAAACCACTTGTGTTGATCCCAATGAGGAAAACCTCAATAGAGGAGTTTGTAATATTGTCCTCAGGAAACACAAACAACTTGTGTTGATCCTAATGAGGAAAACCTCAACAGAGGAGTTTGTAATATTGTCCTCAGGAAACACAAACAACTTGTGTTGATCCTTATGAGGAAAACCTCGAGAGAGGAGTTTTAATCAATATTGTCCTCGGGAAACACAAACCACTTGTGTTGATCCCAATGAGGAAAACCTCAATAGAGGAGTTTGTAATATTGTCCGCAGGAAACACAAAAAACTTGTGTTGATGCAAATGAGGTAAAATAAATAAGAAATAAAAAATAAATAAATAATAAATTTGAATAGATCAATCAATAACTTACTAAATAAGTAAACAAATTAATTTATTAATTGAATAAGTAAATTGAATAAGAACACATTTCCACACGGAAATGAGAGAATCTTGATTATCAGAAACAAGCAAAGTTATAATCAATTTCAGAACTGGATCATCTTATCAAACAAAAATTTCATAGCTTTTTTTTTTTTTTTTTTTTTTTTTTTTTTTTTTAACTTTTTAATACATGTACGTCTAGTATACATATTAACTGGTATGTAAATTTATATATATATATCTATACATTTTGTTTGTTTTTTTTTTTTTTTTTTGGTTTTTGTTTGTTTGTTTGTTTTTTTTTTTGTTTTTTTTGTTTTTTTTTTTTTTTGTTTTTTATATAAATCATTATTATTTCTGCATTTTGCATTTCTAACAGTGATTTTTCTACACCCAATTTGGGTCCGAATATCGGCCCTTTCCCCTAGGAAAAATTTCCGATTTTTCCCAATTTGAGTTGTTTTTTTTTCCCCAATAAAAATTGAGTAAAATATTTTCGTTGTTGTTCTTATTTACTTGATTTTTTTTCGTACGACTTATCTAAAATTGAACGCAATGAATCTCCGTCATTCAGACTCTTCCATCCATACTGAAAAAACAGGTGCTGTATGTTGCGTCTGAAAGACCAAGACAACACGGCATGGTTCGGGGGAAAATCTGAAATCATGTCGCATAATGCAAAATATTATGTTAAAAGACTTCGCAAGAAGGATACAACTGGACTGACGAAAATATCTAAGTTTTTTGTAAGTCCAAATACAAGCAGAGGTATAAATGATCCAAGTACAAGTAGTCAGTTAACGAGTACAAGCGATTGGTGTGTCGAGGATTCTACACACGCGCACGACGAATCAGAAACAGCTTGTAGCAAAGAACACATAAAAAAAACCTGAAGTAAGTTCGAGCAATATCATGTCTGCCGTCGCAGCTAGCAAAAGTCAAGGTGATCAGTCATCTCCCAGAAAAAAACTTGAAGTAAGTTCGAGCAATGTCATGTCTTCCGTCGCAGCTAGCAAAAGTCAAGGTGATCAGTCATCTTCAAGCCTGAAATTTGATGATTGTGAAGGTAAATTGAAGCAATTTGACCAGAGAAAGTTTTATTCACATAAGTATGAAAGTCAATACACATGGTTGTATTATTCAAATGTGAAAGGAGGGTATTTGTGTAAATACTGTGAACTTTTCTCAGACTCTGTGACTACTGATTTGGATAAGCCATTCATTAATAAAGGTGCAGCTCTTGGTACACACCCTACAAGAGTTTTAGAAAAACATGAAGGAAGTAAGAAGCATAAATTTTCTGTTCAAAGATATACATGCTCACGAGGCAATGTAAATGTTTACAAACAAGTACAAATGGCATTCAGTGATAATGTAGAAAAAGAAGATAAAAGAAACAGAGCTGTTGTTAAGAAGATTTTCCAGTGTGTGGATTTTCTAGTGAGGCAGAAGTGGGCAGTCTCTGAAAATACTGAGAAATTAGTCAGATTTGTTGCCAGCATGGGGGACAGCGACCTGAAGCCTCATTGTGACAGTAGTTCAAAAAAAACATCATACTTGTCTTCTCATAGTGTTACACAAATGGTTCAGTGTATTTCAGATTTTCATGAAAGAGAACTCTTGTCTGAAATGAGAGATAAAGAATTTTCATTGTTGGCTGACGAAAGTACTGACATAGCCAATAGGAGCCAGTTGTGTGTAATGGCTAGGTATGGAAATTCAGATGGCGAAATTGCAACACATTTTTTAGGTTTTGTCAATCTAACAAAAGGCACAGCTGAAGCCATAATGGAGGCAATTAAATCATTTCTACTTGCCAAAAACATAGACATGGCCAAAATCAGGTTCATTGCCTTAGACGGTTGCAACACAATGAGTGGAGAGCATAAAGGTATCAAAATTAAAAGAATAGTCTTCTTTCAAATGCTACATGTACTTGTAAATTAGTTTATATTTATTGCAATCTAGACACTGTACATAACATTGTTCTCATTAATTTATATTTAATATTATTAGTAAAGGGTTAGTGAAAGAATCAACAGTTCCTGACTTGACTTCATGACACAATGACATAAATTAGTTACAATTTTCCGCTGATTTTTTTTCAGGACTGCAGAGACGAATCAGACACGAAAGTCCATTCGCACTGTTTGTTAACTGTCGAAATCATCGCCTAGCCTTGTGCTTAGTCCATCTTATCAAAAGATATCCAGTACTTCAAGAAATTGATTCCACACTACTGGCACTATGGAAGCTATTTGAGTTTTCACCATAGAAGCTGGCTGTTTTCAAACATATTCAATCTGTCTATGGGAAGGAACCACTTACTATTCTTCGTGCAGCTACTACCAGATGGTTGTCTCATCTTCATGCATCTTCCAGATTTATTTCAAGGTACACTTTTTCCTCAGTTTATCAATAATTTAGCCTCATCAGACAGTCTTCAAAAGTTTGATTTCAATACAAGGTGCATTATTTTTTTTTATGAAATTCAGATACAACTGTATACTTGATACACTTGATGCACTATATGAAGATAAAAAAGACCCAGAGGTATATGGCATCAGGGCATCTATAACAAAGAAAAGTTTACTGGCAGGTATCTTACTCCTATGTGACATTTTGAAACCAGTACACATGCTTTCCCTCTATCTTCAACATGAAGACATAAATTTTACCATGCTTCCCATCCATGTCAAAGAAACCATTGACTCACTTCATCTACTGGTTGAAAACTACCAGAGAAATCAGTTAAATGACACAGAGTACCAGAAATGTGGTGAGCTGTTCCTAGAAGTGGATGACAGAACCAACCTTGCAAGGAGAATGAGAGCTGCAGCAGCAAATGAATTAACACCAGAATCCTTTCTTGAACAAACAGGTATTTTTATTTAAATCCTAATAAAAACTTTTATTTACAATTTCTATGATTGCCAGGTTAGGATTTTTATACTTAGTTTTATCATTTGATTTCATTTTATCATTTAATTTTATCATTGTAGGAATTCCACTGATCTATGATCTGATACAGGAAATTGAGGATGCTTTCTGTACAGGATCTGCTGTCCTTCCATCATTTGGTATACTGGATCCACATAATCTACCAGACACTGTGCAGGAACTTTTGGATTACAATCAGGTATAGCCATTAATTTATCATTGTAACCATCCAGGTAATAAAATGGGTTTTATTGCCTCATAGCATGATATTAATTTGAGAAATACTTTAAAAAATAGTTTCATTTTTTTGTTAAACTTTGAGTTTTTTTCCAGGAGAGCATAAACAGGTTAGTTGAGTTTTATGGAACTGCAAAAGACGACACATTCCTTGGACACAGAGTCCAGGTTCGAGCACAGTTTGACCCTGTGGCCCTCAGGACAGAGCTTGAAAATTTTAAGCGACACCTTTTCATTTTGAGGTAACTTTCAATGCACTGCATGCAGTTATTGTTCATAATTGTTATAATTTTACTCTTGATTTTTTAACATTTGTTTTCATTCTACTGTTTATTCTAACCCCAGTTGTGAATTTGGAATTTTGGAATGTTATTTTTTCTGTGTTCTTTTTTCAATGTTTAGTTACTATAGTACTGGCAGAGAAATTGAGCAAGTGGACTCAAAGGTAATAATGGTAATATGTATTTATATAAATATTTATTGAAAATCTTTGAAATCAAAATACTAATAAACTTGATATATAATTAATTATTTGCTGATGAATTAATAAATCAATTGTCAAATGTAAATTTATTTCATTTAAAAAAAGCAAAGAGGAAAATTAAATAATTGGAAAATTTACATGATGACAAGTATTTTTGATCTGATATTATGAATTATCATTTCTTATTGCCAAATGTATATTTAATTTTTGTGATTGGTTTGAATGAGAAATATCAGCAATATGATTTTTTTTTTCAGGAGAAGAGGATGCACAACTATTCAAAGCGTATACAGGGAGTTTTGTCAGGATGATGTCTTGAGAGACTGCTTTCCTCTGATATATCATCTGTATTACCTGGCTTTGATTATTCCATCGTCAACAGCTGTGGTAGAAAGGGGATTTTCGCTTTTGTCAAATATTATCACCAAAAAAAGAAACAGGCTCACTGAACAAAACACAGATGCATTAATGAGGATTTGTCACCGGAACAAAGAGTTATGCGATGAAAATTTAGAGAAACTTGTTGACAACTTCAAAGGACTAAGAAAAAGAAAATTACAAATGTAGAATTGTGTGTGATGAAAATTTTTTATAGCAAATTTATTAAATAGTTATGAAATCTCTTGTACATATTATATATTACACTTATTAAGGTTTAAAAACAATACCATTGATTTTTCCCAATTTGGTGAAAATGTCGATGATTTTTCCCAAATGTAAAGGTCCAGGCCCCATTTGAAAAATGTAGAAAAATCACTGTCTAATCTATATCGGACAAAAGTTGAAACCTTGTACACTTTAAATAGCATAGGAATGGCTTCAGCTGTCCAAAATGATTCATCACTTCCGCAGTTACAGCAGTGAGGTCATGTTGACCTACACGTATAAAACATACGGGGCCACAAAGGCTTCAACATAGATTATCGAAAACAGACGCCGTCTAATAGAAATTCTTTATTACCAAATTAAATTTAACTAAGTCATTGTTCGTGAAAGCAAAATAAATTAATTATTTAAGAATGAAAACATAATATTAACGTTTCCTACAGTCAGACTTCCCATCGCTACTATAATGGCGATTATCGGTCTTTTTTTTTTTTTTTTTTTTTTTTAAATATTCTACAGCATCGAGTTGTCCCCGTATGCATATAGTATACAAAATAACAATGGCATTGGATAGCAATTATTAATATCAGTAACATAGCAAAATATTACGTACTTAATCTTTGAAAGATTGTTAGACAAATAAAACAATTAAATTGTATGAGGAAAAAACAAAAGTGTTACCTTACCGCTTAAAATAATTTGAAGCTATCCAACACACATGTACTTTTCACGGCGTCCTAAAAGAAACCGAAAAACGACGCTATCTGGACGACCGGGTCCAGATTTTTGCCGCGCATGATTTTCATTGGGCATTTACTAAATGTTTTCATTTCCAAGAATCACTTGCATTTGCCTCTCCTAATTTGGACACGCCACAAACTTCCAAGAATAATGCAAGCGCGATAACTCTGATTATACGCAGAGCATTCCAATGTACATAAAATTTTTTAAGTAAAACTTAAAATTCATTTATTATCAGTTTTTATTAATTAAGTTAAAACACGATTAATTTTAATGTATTTAAATTTTTTTTAATAAAAGAGAAATACGTACTGAAAGTCGAAAGCAAGTGTCGTACTAGGCATCCATTTCGTTAATTAGCCTACCCTTTCAATGTGCGGAGAATTCTATTTTAGCGAGTTTTAAGTCATTTTGAATGAATTAAAATGTTTCTAAGATTAAGAAATAGTACCGTTATTAGTACCGGTATTAAATGAAACGGTATTTTACCGGTATTTTTGAAGTAACTATTCGGTACGGTATTGGTACCGAGTACCGGTATCCAACCCTATTCCTAGACTACTCATCCGATTGTTTGTGGGGGTTTCACAAGATTGGCAATGCATTTTGGGATGGGGAGGGGAAAAAGAATCTATCACACCGCAAGAGAATAACAATCAACATTATTTGCATTCTTTGGTTGATCGAAAGTGTGGGATGTATTGTGAGATGCAAGCATACTGAAAACAAACTTTTATTCACGTGCGACAAATATCCGCAAGTTTCGCGACCTATACCTATACAACTCATGAATATTAATCGCTGCAAGCCATTTATTTTGCTTTGTATTTGTAGAGAATGTTTCCTCAGTCGCGAAAATTAATTGCCGCAGATTGATTTAGAACTGATGAATTGCGAATAAAAGATGACGCGAATAATAGTTGGTTAACAGTACAATAGCTCATACAAATTAGGCATTCTCCGAACATGCTGGTTTTTCTGTATATCTTTTGAAGATCAACAGGACTTCATTTTTCTTTTTTGTCATTTTCTGACACAGATTGAAATATGTAAATGGGGAAATAACTCTGAGAACAAAAACATAACAAATTTTTGTTGGTGTGACCATCGTCAATGAGTATAAGTACAGGTATCTCCCAAACAGGGAATTTCAAAAACGAAAACTGATACCCACTAATATATATGAAACCAACTGAACAGTAGGTGTACAATGTTCTATTTTGGGGACCATATCCCACACTAAGAATGGCAGTACTCTCGTAACATATATCTGTTAACTCATGCTCAGTTTGTTAAAATTCCCAGGATGAAACTCTGCCATTCAGTTCACTGAAAGGTGACTGAAAGTCTACTGAAAGGTGACTGAATGGTTGAGCTCTGCCATTCAGTGACCTTTCCAGACTTTTCAGTTACCATTCAGTTGACTGTATGGTGTAGGTTCATTCTGTAATATATTTTCATTAAACAGTTAAGCATTTATTTGTGGAAATCAATTTATAATTAACACCTGTCGTGAACAGATATCAATGACTATTTCATTAACTGAATAATCCTTTGTGATTTTACTGTATGGAATTGTTAAATCTGTTGTCTGCATTGTGTTACACCATTTCTTTTATATGACGTCTCCTCTTTTGAATAATAACCACTTCCCCACTTTATCTATATTTTAATTTATACAAAATGTTTTCAGGTTAATTACTGAACATAGAATAGTTCATTACATTGACAAGGTAATAAAAGAACAATAGATTTTCAGTTATAATTTTTTATTACATTAATATTCTTCATGGTAACGACTTCAATTTTTTAAAAGTATTCGATTGGATCGTACTGAGCCACGAATTTCACATCCTTCACTTTACTCTGATTGTTCAGACCAGTGTATATTTTCACGTGTAAGTAGCGTGGTTGAGCACCTTGCATTTTTACCTGTAACAATATCGAAGTATAATATGAAATAAATGATTTGTAAAAAAAGATCTAATAATAAAAATAAAACTGAAAAGTTTGTTTTACATTTTGTTTTATAATTCTACCTTTTTATGATGTTACCTTGATAAAATAGTTTGTTCCTTTCACGACCTGCTTTTTAAACACCAGGGCCTTCAAAGGTCCAAAAGGCCCCTCCATGAAAGATGGTAATCTTCGAATAATGGCGTCCCTGTTCTAAAATAATTGTATTCATTTCCTTAAATATCACAATCATTTGAAGAATTATTTTCGGAAAAAATTAGTTAAATAAAGAAAAATTAAAATACCGTTAAGCGGGTAATTTTAGCATAGGAAATACTTGGTGAGTTCGATGTCCAAAAAAAGTAATTAATAATTTTGGCTTTATTTATTTATTTATATATTTATTTTTGGTGCATTTTCAATTTAAAATAAATATATGATTATTATTATTTTAGTTCATTCAAATTAGCAACAAACCATCTTTTGGTAATATCACGTATTTATTTATGGTCATTGATTACACAAAACAGATAAGATGCGTTGAATTCAATAATAACCCTTCAGTCAATCTTATGGAAATTTTGGTGCTTTAATTTTAAAAGAATCTTCTTTAATCCGCCAAAAAAAATCACAGCTTGCAAAACTTATCCTATGTACGGTGTAAAAATAAAAACGAAGAGTAAAAATTATCGCATTCTCTTGCATACCTTTTGAACAAGGGCTTGTTCGCCAGGTCCTGCATACTCCTGTGGACCGAGACCTCCGGGAGTGCAGTATGTCTCAGTGATGATCGCCAAGAGGAGACCAAGAGCAAATACTGAAAGCCCGTTCATGATGCTGTTTCGGTTTTTGGAAGTGAGGATTTCTTGTGCTTACCATGACTTTTATAGCATATAGCCCTTTGCCCAAATGTTGCAAATGTACACTCCTGCCATAACTGAAAGTACTGTTTCACGTAGGTTAATGGTGTAAACATGGCACACAATGTGTTGTTTCTGTTCATTATTGTATCTGTGTACGTCATGTTTGTCAAGTTATCGTAATTGATAATTATGAGGTATTAATTTGCTATTAAAATTGATTTGCATTTACCTTTTATCAATTGTTTAATGAGTATTATCCAAAATTATTAAAATCTGATTTGTTTTAGAAAAAAATTAGAAAATTATTTAGCATTCAGATATATGTCAAAAAGGTTCAGTTCTTTCCTTCATAAAAAAATAATACCTAAACCCTTTTAAAAAATCAACCAATTTTTATTATGTTCAGTATTCAAATAAAAAATAGTAAATAAAGTGTATAATTTGTACCCGGTTTATACCTTTGGGGAATAATATATTGTACATGGGTGAGTTTTTATCAACTACTAGTAATGTACGACATATGTTATAGTTTGATACTAAGCTGTGATTTGAAAATAAGCCGATCTTGAAAAGAAGCCCCCAATTTCTTATCAACATGTAAAGACAGATGCGGCTGATTTTCAAGGTTTAAGGGTAGTTATACCTTATTGTTCAGTAAAATGAAAGCAAAACAATATAGTCACTTTTCCCCATTTTAATATTAGACAATAGCTTCGTTACAACTGAAGGGCCGGTATTATAGAAATCTAAATAATAATACTTGTGAATTTCTTATATTTTGATATGATTTTTCTCTGACATTGAAAGTAAATTTCTAAGAAACTTTACAGAGAATTGTATTTCATTTAAAATATTTGAATCTGCATTATCTTTTGCCAAACATGAATGATTCAACAACATACAGTTTATATTTAAGAAAGCACTCGTACACAATATAGAATAGATCATTGGTGGTTTTAAGCAAAGAAACAGTTTGTTTTTCTGTTATTTCTTGATTTATCGTAAAGCAAAGAAGATAATTAAGTGCATATCATTATTTGGTTCTATTCTACTTAATTGAAATTCATTTGTTTGATATTAATTTGTTATATTTTGTTTATTTTGACACAGTTTTAATAAAAGCAAAATGCGTAACTGAATAAAAATCAATCATCATTAAATGCAATAAGAATTATGTTTTTGTATTCCTTAGATAATGTTTTTCATTTCTATTACGACCTTTTTTTTGGTTGATGAGAAATCAGCTTTTCTGAAACATTTCAGCTTTTCTGAAACATTTCTTTTGTACAGTACCTGCATCAACAAAAGCCGGCTCTACATTTTTTGATAGGTGTAACAGATTCTAATTTTCTATTCCTAAATTTGCTAGGGAGGAAAGTCTCTTTCCTTACAAATATATAACTGATTTGGTAGTAAATTTCTGTTAAACATATCAATCGATTTTTGTAATAAATAATTTCATTAGTTTCCAATAGTAAGGTAATCAACAGAAAAGGTACATTTTGTCGAATTCTAGGAAGAATATGCTAAGTAGTAGTCATCCTTAATCTTAATCAAATATACATATTTACAAAAACTCCTTCTCAACAAAACTTTTTTGTTTTACAACAAGTTTCTCCAATTGAAAATAGGTCTGTAAATCGTTTTTACATACGTGTGCATAAGAAGAAGGAAACAATTCATATTGTAAGACATTCATGATAATTGTTTGATATTTGGGACTTCATAAAGCATTTCATTTATACTTTTTATAAGGAAGAAATGCTGCATGGTATCATTAAACTTAATGTGTCAGTGTAAACTTTAATACAACAAAAGAATAAAAACATGGTAACTTCTGAATGCCATTTTTGGACTGTAACACTGCTATACAAAAAGAGAATTTAATAAAATATTTTCATACTTAGTTTAAATAAAATGACAAAAAACTAAACTTTGTACAATAATGATGAAAACTGAAAATATCTATATCACCTGTTTATTAGTGGCTAGAGGCCAAATTTTTAATTACTTTTAGGAGCATGCTGCTCTAATAATGTATTTAACAGCTGCGACGTTTTCAAACAATCTTCCCATTGTTTTCACCAGTATATAAACACTCAATTTCTAGCATTGATACTGATATTCTAAATCACAATGAAGGTCTCTGTTGCAATTATTTTCAGTTTAGCGGTCACTGCTGTGTTTCTTGTGAATGCTACATCTATTGCTGGAGGACTTGGTAAAGCCAAACTCGCCACTCCAGAAATCCAACAACTTGTTGATTCTGTAAGTATGGCATATATACTGTAGTATATTTCATGTTTATAATATTGATTTTCAGGAAAAGCCCCTCGGTATCTATTCTAACGATCATCTTTGAAAAATAATGAAATTAAATCATATGTACTGTGCACTGAATTTTTACTGCAACAAGTAACCAGTTTTTGAATAAATATCTAATGTATATATCACAATTAATGATACAGGTGCGCGATGATATAATCAGCCATCTTCCTATTGGATACGACAGAGAAATGCCGCTGCCACTTAAAGCTCGTTTTTACAGGGAACAAGTGGTCGCTGGCACGAACTATTTTATCAAGGTACAGATTTTAAAAATCTATTACAAACCTTAAATGCCAATCATATTTCATGTACATTATTTTCATATTTTTGCTCTCTTTGTTGCATATACTGTGTTTGAAATTTGAAAAGTTTTCTTTTCTGTGTAAATATCGATTTTAATCTAATAATTTGCATTTATATATTTGTTTTTCAAGTAACATTTGTTATTAATATCAACAGTTTGTAACATTTAATAGTTTATTCTTCTATCAATTACAGATTCAAACAGGCCCCTTAAGGTTTATCCACGTTAGAATTTATGAAAATCTTGATGGAGTCGCTTCTGTAACCGGTATCCAGCTTCAAAAATCCATTAGAGATCCGATTGAATACTTTTAAAACTGTCGTGATATTACTAAATAGTCTTTTGATATGGATATTTTTAAATGATTTGATTTCTTGCTATAAAGTAAACGAATAAAGTTTAGAAAAAGAGTTTAAGGAAAAAAATTACTTTTTTTACTTCACATGATATAACACCTAAATTTCAAAAGTTATAAGATGATAGCGGATATTGCGGTTTCACAACATCATCCAAATACTGAAATAAATGAATTTCATGACATCAATATTATTGTTTGTACATTGTATTTCCGACATTGCCTGTTGAAATAAAATATTTGCAAGTAATCCATGTGACTTAATTCCAAACAAAAGCTAAAAGGCTCAATTTTCAAATTCTACCAATAACTTTGTAGATAAAGGTAAAAAAAATATTATTGATCTTATGAAACTGTCATGTTTCCTGGTATTGAATGCATCATTAAATGCTACATTGAATGCGAAAATATTTTATGCTCATTTTTAATAAATCATCGATTATCGATGTTTTCCAAAGAATCTGTGATTTAAGAATTAATATTCTAAGAAGTTTCCTCACAAAAAATGAGGTATATAACCAGGTATTGGTGTAAGATTCCAGGAGATGGCATTTCCTACATAATCCTATTGTGAATCTCTTGAATGGCTGATATTACAGATTTTCAGTACATAATTTCTAAAACATTTTGGATGTGATTTAGAAATCATAAGTTAGTTTTAGGGATGAATATGTTTGGTATAAAACGAAGGAACAAGAGGCCCATGGGCCACATCGCTCACCTGAGCACATTGGCTAGGCAAAAGCACAATCAGTATTGAAAAGACCGGGGGGGGGGGGGGGAGGGGGGCTTGAATTTTAAACTACCTGATGATGCTTCCATGTCAATATAACAAATGGCTTTGTTGTACTTGAGAAGATTTTTTAAAAAAAAATCCCATATATTCCTTTGTAAAAATTTGATCCCTCATTGTGGCTCCTCCCTATCCCAGGGGTCATCATTTGAACAAACTTGAATCTACACTACCTGAGGATGCTTCCATATCAATATGACTAAATATAGCTTTTCTGTTCTTGAGAAGAAATATTTTTTTCTATATGTTCTTATGTAAAACTTTCCATCCCCCATTGGGCCCCATCCTACCCCTGGGGGTCATCATTTAACAAAATTGAATCTACACTACCTGAGGATGCTTCCATATCAATATGACTAAACATAGCTTTTCTGTTCTTGAGAAGAAATATTTTTTCTATATGTTCTTATGTAAACATTCCATCCCCCATTGGGCCCCATCCTACCCCTGGGGGTCATCATTTAACAAAATTGAATCTACACTACCTGAGGATGCTTCCATATCAATATGACTAAACATAGCTTTTCTGTTCTTCAGAAGAAGATATTTTCCTTTATATTTCTATATAAAACTTTGATCCTCCATTGCAGCCCCGCCCTACCCCCGGGGGTCATTATTTGAACAAATTTGAATCTACACTACCTGAGGATGCTTCCATATAAATATGACTCATCATAGCTTTGCTGTTCTTGAGAAGAAGATTTTTAAAGATTTTTCCTATATATTTCTATGTAAAACTTTGATCCTCCATTGTGGCCCCACCCTACCCCCGGGGGTCATGATTTGAACAAACTTGAATCTACACTACCTGAGGATGCTTCTATATAAATATGACTCATCATGGCTTTGCTGTTCTTGAGAAGAAGATTTTTAAAGATTTTTCCTATATATTTCTATGTAAAAATTTGATCCTCCATTGCAGCCCCGCCCTACCCCCGGGGGTCATGATTTGAACAAACTTGAATGTACACTACCTAAGGATGCTTCCACATGAGTTTCATCTTTCCTGGCCCTATGGTTCTTGAGAAGAAGATTTTTAAATGATGCCATTATTTTTTTTCAGTAATTCCTAATTATCTCCCCTTGAAAGAGGGTGTGGTCCTTCATTTGAACAAATTTGAATCCCCTTTACCCAAGGATACTTTGTGGCAAGTTTGGTTGAAATTGGCCCAGTGGTTCTTGAGAAGAAGTCGAAAATGTGAAAAGTTTACAGACAGACAGACAGACGGACGCCGGACAAAATGTGATCAGAAAAGCTCACTTGAGCTTTCAGCTCAGGTGAGCTAAAAAAGACGTTCTTAGAACGTGTTGTCAGTCCTTAAGGATTGCAATGAATCCAATATTTGTTTATTGCTTTATGCCAGTTGCAACAAACTTGCTTTTTATTTTGTAAAATGGAAGGGAAAATAAATACTGTTTCTATGTTTGTATAAGTAAAATGAATAAGTTAAGCCACATAATAAAATAAAATTTTCTTTCAAGACTTCACAGTTATGTTTCATAAAGCCTTAAATATGTGTGGGTTTATAAAAGGCGAATTACAAAAAGTGAAAAATATGAACATCATAAAAAATGTACAATTTCTTCAATATTTTAGAAAATTTATATTTGCCTTAAAATCCACAAAGAAATACAAATCCATGCATTGATAATTTTTTGTTTGTGATACAAATTTAAAAAAGGAAAAAAAAGAACAATTATGATTAAATCAATTCAGATGAAAATCTCTAGTAATCAAAAAAATACTTTATCATTGATATTTTCATAGAAATTGAAATGCTAGTTATTCTGTCTGTGGGAAAAACACTGTCATTTGGAATACAGAATCTTCACTCGTAATTTACATGTATTTACAGTCAAAGTGTGTTACAAGTTTAGACTGATAGAGTACACAAGTGAAGACTAGGATGTCAATGGAACTGTTCAAATTCTAATTGATATTGAGATGCAAAATCGAGTCCCTTTCAATAAAAATGTAAAATAAGTTTATGTAAAAAGGTTGCGTTTTCATTATTATTTCCATTAACAAATTTGAAACGTCTACGAGTGTTGTTCGGTAAAAACATGGACAAGTCATCTATAGTGAAAAGTGCTCTGAGTATATGTCTAAAATTTGTAGACCTCCACCTGCAAGTGATGGCGTCTCAATATGAGTGAAAATTCTCGAAAGGGACGTTAAACAAACAAACGCTATTGCCAGTAACTGTTTGTCCGTAATATGCTTTGTTCATTTAGGGGGCTGGATGCCAAATTTTTGAATTAAAAATCGCCCATGCATTTGTATGAAATAAAGATTTACTTTTATATTTTTTTATCTTCTGTTACTGGTTTAAGTCTGTTTAGGCGTCATTAGGAATTTATATAAAACTGTAATGAAGGAATTCTTCTCCGGTGCTCCGTAACGTTATGAAACGGAACATTTTGTCGTCTGAAGCGTTTACCTCTTTCCATTTAAGATTCTTAAAAAACTACCAAGATTCTATATATGAAATTATTTTTTCCATTCTACATTCAGCAATTTAATGGACCATTTTCTTTGCCAAGTGTCTTGTTGAAAGAATTATTATATATTTTCTTTCTGATTTTTCATTTAAGTTTTCAATCCTCTTCATTTATTAAATGTTTTCATTTAATAAACGTTTATTCTAATAAATCTCAGAATATTCAATTATTATTTATATAAACAAGCTTTTAACAACAGTAATCATTCACTTCAATTTATTCATTACACTAATAATGTACATTTTTCCAACTCTTGGTCATTAGAAGTATTCGATTGGATCGTACTGTGCCACAAATATGACATCTTCCACTTTACTTCGATTGTTTAAACCAGTGTATATTTTCACATGTAAGTATCGGGGCTGAATACCTTGCATTTTTACCTGAAAAATACAATAAATTGACTAATGATGTGTTAAAAGACCTTTTTACAAGGAATCGTACAACTAATTTATTTTTTTTAAGTTTTGTTAATTTATTTCTGAGTTACACTGGGATACCTTTATGAAATAGTTGGTTCCTTTCACGACCTGCTTTTTAAACACCAGAGCCTTTAAAGGTCCAAAAGGTCCCTCCATGAAAGATGGTAATCTACGGATAATGGCGTCCCTGTTCTGTAATGAGTTATATTCTTACATCATTCTAATATCAATATAATTCAAAGATTTAACTTCTAGTTAAATTTATTTAATATTCATATTTAAGTAAACTATCAAATTACGAAATAAAAGGAAAATCAAGAAATACAAAAATTAAAAAAAAGGTGGACTCCATTACGTTATCTTTCATACCTCTTCCACCAGGGCCTGTTCTCCGGGTCCTGCGAACTCCTGTGGGCCAAGACCCCCAGGAGTGCAATATGTCTCAGTGATGATCGCCAAGAGGAGACCAAAAGCAAATACAGAAATTCCGTTCATAATGCTGATTCGGTTTTCGGTAGTGAAGTTTTGTTGTGTTCCCCATGACTTTTATATCATATAGCGCATTGCCCAATATGTCACTGGTAAACCCCACTGTCACGACCACGTCAGATGATTATGATGCAATCATCGCACGCAATATGTTGTGGCTGTTAATTATTTTATCAATTAAACAGCTGTATATATAAAATGATTAGAATTTTTCAGAAAAAACATATATTTTGTATGTCTATTAAAATGCATTCAAAGAAGCAAATTTTGAAAGTAAACACTACATTTTTAAAATGATGTGTAAGGCCCTGTTTGTGGAGGAACCTAATTACTGCATTCTGTTAATCAAGGAAACATTTATGGTAGTATATTTTTAATGATGAAGTTAGTAAAAGTTAGGTAACTTTTATGTGTACAATTAATGACTTTTGTTATGGGATTAAGGAAATTAGTCCTTGTAGAAAAAAATATAACTTTTTTCCCTAGAAAAGAGTATTATTTTATTTTATTTAATAAATCTTAATCTATGACAGTCAATCTCATTAAAATCAGATATCTTAGATTCGCGCCATTTAAACTCTTCTTAAGCAGAGTGTAAACGGCGCGGATCTAAGAAGTCTAATTAGATTGTTATGACAGTGTACGTATAAAATATGATTGTATGTATTATATATATATATATATATATATATATATATATATATATATATATATATATATATATATATTTCAGTAATACTCAGTTTCGATTTTTTTTATATATATTACAATTTAAACATCTGAATAGTATAATTACGTCATAAACGTATCGATTTACAATTATTTGAATTTATAATCTTGAGTTATCTTCTATGACATTGGTTTATTCATCGTAAATATTAACTTTCGGCAGAGACTGAATGGATCTAGAAGTTACACATGTACAATGATACTGTTTAATCAACAAAAAACCTACAATCTTCTTCGTCCCTGAAGTGTAGATAAAAATAACACTAGTGGTTAACCTTCATGATGGCCGGGCATTTGTCATGTTTATAATGTCAATGACGCCGCTATCAAAATACAAAGACATAAATTAATGTAATGGTACATCTGATATACATTTTCATATTTTTAGTTACAAAAAACAAATAAATGAGGCACCCCTACCCCTTGTTCCTCTCGCTGTGTTGCCCTGTCTTTGTGCTGAAGTGATCTTACCTGAACTTTGGGATCGAAATCGAATATTTTACAGTTATTCGCATATCAGTACCTCAAAACGTACTTTAAAATTCTTTTCAAAACATGAATTACGAGTATTTAAGTTTGAAATAAATAATAGATGTTTCAAAGAGCAAGTAACAAGTTTTGCTCCTCTCTAAATAGTTGTTCCATTTTTTAGATTACCTGTAAGATGGTTATTTCTGATTGCCTAGGTACATACATGTATTTAATGCATAAACATATAAGTCTATCTTTTATTGCAAATTATTGACTCCCCCACTTTCACTAGACACAGCATTTGTCGGACTTTCGTTCATTAGTTAATTTCTTTTATTATTTGTTAGATGTTGGTTAGAAGGTAAAAATAAACATGCGAATATCGTATATTGTTGCTATATTTTTTCTAGATTTTTCAATATGGCAATTATCAATAAATAACTTGCAATTGGTTCAAATTGGTTCAAAATTGGCTGATTATGAAGACTTTGTCAAATAAAAATCAAGCTTATTCCTAATATTCAACTTGATTGACAATTCTGAAATCAAATAATAAATTATATTTGTGATATTTTTTTGAAATTCTTATTTTTATGGCATTATTTATAGATCATTTTCAAAATCAAAAGTTTGAACAGAATAAGATATACAGTGCAAAAGTTAACTTAAGAAAAAAATTATAGTTTTCTCAGACTAACACGTGCACACAGAAGGACATGCAGACACCAAACTTTTGATCAATTTTTGTTTTGTTTGTTTTTTGAACATATCTTATTGACAATATCTCAACGAAATTGGACACAAGTTCCGAAAACTTCGGTCGCCCTCTCCTCAAGTTCAACATACAATACAAAAACATTATGACGTGGACCTTAAGTTTTCTGGGGCATAGAGTAAATTGTTTATTAACGACCTGTTTATTGAAGGCTAGAGGCAAAGTATTTAATTGCCAATTTTAGGAATATGCAGTTCTATATTTAATTAATTTCAGAAACATGCTGCTCTAATAATTTATATGAACAGCTGGGGCGTTCTAAACAATCTGCCCACTGTTTCACATGTATATATAAACAATCAGTGACACTGTTTGTATTACAGATATTCTTCTTCTAAATCATAATGAAGGCTTTTGTTGCAGTTATTCTCAGTTTATCGGCTTCTGCCGTATTCTTTGTGAATGCTACTGATAAACCTGTCGTTGGAGGACTTGGTAAAGCTAAACTTGCCACAAAAGAAATCCAGGAACTTGTTGACTCTGTAAGTAAGGAAAAATAGACGCTTAGCTTTCAATATTTCAAAGTTATCATTTCTTAGGAAAACAAACTTGACACCACATGCATTCTCTAAAACAATAGATTCTATTTTATAGAACTTTTTAAGGAAAGAAAGAAAAAACAGTTCGTAACTTGTTTTGATTTTTACTGTAACAAATACCAGTTTTCGTATAAATACTATTTACTGTATTTTCACAATTAATGATACAGGTGCGCGATGATATAATCAGCAATCTTCCTATTGGATACGACAGAGAGATGCCGCTGCCACTTAAAGCACGCTTCTACAGGGAACAAGTGGTCGCTGGCACGAACTATTTTATCAAGGTACAAAGATTAACAAAATCTTCATCTTTTACAAAACAATTATGTCAAAAATGCATGACTTACATCTCTCTCTCTCTCTCTCTCTCTCTCTCTCTCTGATTAAATTGCCCTCTTTGTAATTAATTTTGCCAACTAGAAGTTTTTGTCATTTCAATTTATTCATACTCTTTGTAAACGTTTGTCAAGCATCATTTATTATTTGAAGCATTTTTTAAAAATTATATTATTTCAATATTTTTATTTTCTTATCAATTTCAGATTCAAACAGGCCCACTGAGGTTTATCCACGTTAGAATATTTAAAGATCTCCAGGGTGTCGCTTCTGTTTCCGGTGTCCAGATCAACAAGCTCCTCAGAGACCCACTTGAATATTTCTAAAGCAACTTTAAATGCTTTATCAAATGTTCATAGACATCTTGATACAGTGTTATTATTTCAAAGTCTTTTGATTTTTATCTATTGTCCATTGACTTTTATAATAATTTTTGGAACACTGAATTTAAATTTTTTTGTCAGTAATTATTGTTATTCATTTCTGAGAGTTTCTCATAAACAGAGTATGAACAGAGATGAGAAGGTATTTCTTTTAAAAGTATTAGTCATACGAAAATATATTGTTGATACTTTTAAATTATTTGAGAACATCGGTAGAGTACAATAAAACAAAAGAATCAGGGGTTTTTTTCTCTCCTTTTCTTAGGCGTATAAATCTGTGACGGTAAAGATCGGGCTTAAAATTAATGTTAAACAAGAATCTTCTTAGCACTGCACTGTTAAATATACTTTTATTTTAATATTATAGTAACCTAGCATTAAATATTGATAGGTTAATAATCGCTCGAGTGAGTAAATAAAAATCAAATGTGAAAATGCCAGTCAAATTGCTCACTCTTTTTATATTAATCGTAACGAAGGCATCACGAGGGTGGCTTCGGCTGATCAGTGAAGAAACCATTTAGATAAACATGAGATACTCGGAGCTCTTCGCACAGCTCACATCTCACACACGTACATATGGAAGGCCAAAATGAATTGAAGATAGGTGCAATTGAATTAAAGATAGGTCTAAATGAATTAAAGATAGGTGTAAATAATTATACTTATCTCTAAATAATTTGATTTGAAGATGGGTACAATTGAAACATCCATAAAGGATTTGAAGATAGGTACAATTCAATTATACCTAGGTTCAATTCGTTTTGTGTTATTGAAAATAATGAAAGCTCCCTCTAACAGCGTCTTGATCATGGCGTATAAACCTAGGTCCCGTGTTGCAGTAAGTGCTGGCACGAAGAAGATCCCTCACTTCTCAATTGCCCTAAGTGCCGAATGAGGTCTAAACATCCTCACAACGTCAAGGGTCCTGAGTCAACACGTTGCCGTTGGACCCCTGACGTTTTGAGGATGAGGTCTAAAATTTGCATCCCTCTACCTGCAAGTGGTGGTGTCTCAATATGATCGAAAAAATTATTAAAAAAAAAAAAAAAAAAAAAAAAAAAAAAAAACACTATTGCCAGTAACTGTTTGTCCGTACTATGTTTTGTTCATTTAGGGGACTGGATGCCAAATAATCTCTAAATAATTTAGAGCAAATTCGTTCATTGGTCTTTCGAGTATGTCTATCTCGTGCATTTCTTTATTCGTTTAAAACTGGTTGTACAGTATATTCTGTGCGAGGTCACAAGTTTGACATCTGAATATATGTATTACACAAAAGGAAAATTTCTTATTCTTTCACAACAATTTTGTCACGGCAATTTGTGCTGGCATCAATTCTTTAAACGAGAATAAAAGGGCATTTAAGGAAGCTCTAAACACTAATGAAAAAATGTTGGGGTTTTTTTACATTGAGACAATTTTATTGTTTAAAGATGTATATTTTGAGCCTATCTAGTTCGTTTGCAACATAGGGTACCTGCCATATTAGTCCAGGAAAAATGTAAAAAGAGAATGAAGTATAAGTAAACAAAAATCAATGTTGTTTATTTACAGTGCATGCAAAAAAGTTTTCAATTACTTTATTTTCATCTAATATAATGTTAGGAATACTTTAGTCTGTTTCGAATTCTGTTATTTACAGTATATTTCAGTTAATTCCTTTTTACCTCAAAGGGCAGATCACTCCAACTGCATAAAACAACCATAGAGTAAGCACTTTTTAGTGAGCAGTGTTCAGAGCTTCCTTAAAGAGATCATTATTTAAATTATGGATATGTTGAATTGAAGAAATCGCTAATTTCAAAATAGTTGTTCTCTCTCTAAAAGAGATATTTCGAGCATTAATTGAATTGATGATATAATAAATTGAATTGATGATATCATTAATTAAATTAGTGAAAGCAATGATTTAATAATTGCGCGCATCAATGAATTGATTGGAGCAATAATTGTATTAATGCGCTAATCATATGATTCTCTCTTTAATTCAATTGATTCGCGCCTATCAATTAATTTTTTGCTCTCATTGATCTTTTATGTTAAAATCGAGAGCAACATAGCAGTCCCATTTGTTTCCAAAAAAAATATGATAGAGAACATGTTAAGGTGTAAAACACTTGTTATTCATCTCAATGATAAAAAATTTTAAACCATTATAATTTAATTCTGGTTATAATGCGGTATTTGATTGGATGAAAAAAATACTTAATATCGTATAAAGAGGGTTGCCTACGTCACAATGACATGCGTCAAAAACGTATCGATCCGCTTGACGTTACATTTTAATTTTGTACAATTTGAAGTCACTTTTTAAGGACAGTCATCTTTTTCCTTACACTAAATGAACGAAAATCAAATTATAAGCAATGAAATTAATACTTACAGCTACCCAATTTATACGGTATAATGGGGTTGGAACAGATTACGCTTTAATTTTTTAAACTGCATTGCGGTTTATAAAGCGTAAACTGCCCCAATCCACTTTACACCGTATAAATTGGGTAGCTATTAAATTCATTCTTTAAATAAAAAAAAATATAAACTATAAATGCAAGTAGTAAAATTATTGCGCAACAGTGGTCTCCCAGTCACAATATTGTTGCAATATACAACTACAGATTTGACAATGCGATGGAATACAGCATCAATCTTCGTTTGAAACAAAAGTGGCGCATATTTTTTTTTTAAAATTGACAGATTCAAAAGATTGTTCATTGAAAGTTTGATGGAAGGAGGGGAAGTGGATGTTGCTCTTTCGTCAGAAAAATTCCCGTGGCAGCACTCCGAGTAAATACAAATTTTAAAATAAATTGCTGTTAAAAAAGCCATTTTTTCAATTCAGCAAATTAATTGTTCACATGTACCATATATTTAAGATGGTTTTGAGTGAATAAATGAACTTGAACAATAATTCAGAATTACAGATATCATTCATTACATGAAGAGATATTCAATTGAATTTTTGAGCGCATCCAATTGATTGATTATAGTTGTATCTTCAAATTATTCAAGATATCGTCAATAATCTGAGTTTATATTAAATTGCTGCTCCATATGTAAATTAGCATTTTTCTTCTGTAATGTCCAATGGAAATTTCTACCCATATACATGTATGTTACAGTAGTACAATTATTTAAATTTTATTACAATTAGAACATTGCTGCAGGTATTTTACTCAAAATACCTTTTATCTATAATTTCCATTTACCATATGGATATTTTTATTTCAATGCTATTTATTTAAGCTACACGTCTGTACTTTGGCAATGGTTCTAATATCCCATAATGACCTGTTCATTCTGTGACATTATAAAGTCCAGCAGTTCCAGCTGACATGTGCCATACATTGGAAACTAGTGTAATTGTCACTGTGACTAATTGGTGTCAGACAGAAGGACAGATACACTCTTGTGTAGCAGGTGTAATGGTAATTATCAAACATACACCTTATATTCATATGTGTAATGAATTTGATAAATTACATCATTTGATTGTATAAATAGTCAAAATGTCCTGTTCATTCTTCACAAATCCGCTATCATCATGAATTCAGCTTTGGTTCTTTTCTTTGCTGTAATTTCTGTTTTTGTGTCTGTCCATGGAGATGAGGATCCCGTTCTTGGAGGGCTAGGACCCACTAAATTTGCCACCGATGAAGTACAGGATCTCATAGATTTGGTAAATATTTTCATGTATCCATCGCTCGATTAATGAAAAAAATCTAGCTTAAGAATGTAATTAAAAAAATATATAAAATGTTATATATAATGTCCATCATCATTCTCTTTACTCACATAAAATTTTGCCTTGGTGATAATGATTTTTCAAACAAAATCTAAACTGTAATTCAATTGCAGACAATTATATTATACCTTATGGGCAAAATTTTTGTTTTCTACCAAGTTTTTAAGGGTACAGTAATAATAATTTATCTCAGTCAGAGTTATCTCTCTTATCAGAGGGTCAATGAACCTTAAGTATGAATTTACTTTCTTATTTTCACTTTCAGTTACGAGATGACATTATAAGCCAGCTTCCTATTGGATACGATCGCGAGGAACCACTTCCTGAGTTTACAGCCCGTCTGTACAGAGAACAGATTGTAGCTGGAACAAACTTCTTTGTCAAAGTATGTGTATATGACCTGATTTCAACCTTTTTAGACTAGGATATATATCAATAAAACGAATTTCGTTTTCAATAAGTATGAAATACAAAATACCAAAATACAAGTACATATTTAATGGTTGAAAAGTCATCTGCTCATTTGTATGTTATATATCAATAATGAATTGATTACTACTAATGAGAAACGCCAATGACAATATATAACAAATGACAATTCTTTATTTGCAGGTTGAGACTGGGCCACTCCGATTTATTCACGTCAGGATATACGTTGATCTATCTGGGGATGCCTCAGTTGATGGAGTCCAGGTTGGAAAAACCATGGGAGACCCCCTGGAGTATTTTTAGAATAGGATGTGTATATTTAATATACAATGTATACAATATTTTTACAGAATTCCATTAAATAACATGTGACTTTTAAAAATGTTTATATTGTTATGTCTAAAGTAAAAAAAAAAGTGAAACTGATTTTAATACAAGAATTTTACAGAATTCCATTAAATAACATGTGACTTTTTAAAAATGTTTAGACTTTTATGTCTTTGCAACATAAAAAAAGAGATGAAACTGATTTTAATACTTATTTTTTTACAATATATATTATTAATATCAATTTTTTCTCGCCACATTTAAACTTCTATATTGTTAATTAATAAATACTTTGCTTAACTGCTCAACAACGTTTCCAGACGATTGAGCATCAATCCCCTCAAGGCATATTTATCTGTTGTAACAACATTCATAAAATCATTTATCTCCATGCCCATCTATTGAAACCTACATCAATATATTTTACATCTGTCAGTTTTTCACTCTGCTTATTTGCTGTCCCTCTATGTTTCATTTTTTTTTAAATAAATAATAACTAATTACTAATAAAAAAAAATAATAATAATTGGCTTCCTGTCTTAGCAATCGTAAACCAACTGCTATAGGACAGACTCTACAATAGAACTCGTCCCTCCGAGTCTATTAGCCGCCAATCTTTTGATTAATTAGGAAACAGCATTCATTGTTTTACTTGGACATGTATATACTACTGGAAAGACCCTAGGAAAAGTAGTTCTAGCTACTATCTATGGACTACAGCTAATTCCTCTAATTGAGGAACCCGTAGTGCCGCTTACTCAACTTACTCTCGTATTTAATTATAGAGCCCTTAATGCCGTATATCCAATCAATAGCCTGTTCCACAGAGCAATGAGAGGACGACGAATAGTAAAACATTTATCTGTATTAATTATATCACCTTTTCATTTCTCGATTTTTTTAAGAAAAGTTTCCACGTACTTCCATAATCACACAATGCAGAGACTGATATAAAAAATTCCATCGCTAGACCAATCGTAATATATGCTGGTTGATAAGGGGAGCCATAAATTTCGGACAAGTGTCTTGCAGTCATTTGATAAGTGAAATTTATAATTTCGTAATCTGTAATTATGTACCATCTGCTGCTATCTGTGTCATAGTCGGGCTTAGTGTCACATTATGCTTATCATCATGAAGGATAACACGTTTCTGATTCCAACACTCTTGCTCTGTTTGTCTGTCTGTAGTTTTTACGTGGTACATGGAGCTTGGTTAGGACAGACGAAACCCGCCACTTTCCCGGTGAAAAAGATGGTTGAAGTGGTAAGAATTTTTGCGTTTCTGTTTTTCGAGCAGGAAAAATTATAAGCCATGACAAATGCCTTTATCATACATGCATGTACTATATTCATCATCAGTATATATTAGCAATTTGCAGGTACGTAGTATCAAGGGTGGGGGTCGGCCGGTGTAACGACGAAAAATGACCCCCGTAGAATATTGACCGGGGGATCAAATTTCTTCGTAGAAAAATGACCCCCCCGGTCAATTTTCTACGGCAAGTAGGGTCATTTTTCGACCGTAGAAAACCCTTCCAGGCCGGTAATTCTACGACTCCACACACGTTGAAAAATGACCCCCATAGAAATCTGACCCCCTACTTTTTCACTATATTTTATAATTAAACCTTTAGAAATGAGGTGTGAAATGCGTTAATCCGATGTTGGGGAGGGTCGGTGAAGGCCTAGAGTCTCCTGTTTTGTTTTTTTTCTTTCAAAGGAGCAAAGTACCTTCCCCTCCTTAACGCCATATATATATATATATATATATATATATATATATATATATATATATATATATATATATATATATATATATATATATATATATATATATATATATATATATATATAAATCCATTTTGTTTTTTTTCTTGTCTTTTTTCTCACAGTTTTTGTTCAAAAAATTACATGATATCTTTCTGATAACGATATACCTGTATGGAATGGATGTTATCGGAACTATTTAAACGACAAGTTTGTAGCCCCATGCTTCTAGCTTAAAATTTGTGCCCGCTTTCAACCTACCTCCACCCCAGCTTTTACATGTATCAATTTCTGAATACACCGTTGCATTGAAACAAAAAAAGTATTGTATTATTATTTTTAAACAAGGAAAAAATTAGAGAAAGCATGGCATATGAAGCGTCCAATATGGAAATGATATCATTAACTGTAATTGCTGCTTCATTTTTAATATCATGTAATATCTTTTTCCCTCCTTTAGGTTCATTTATCCTTATTTATTACTTGAATATTAATATCCCCGCTTCGAAGGAAATGGGGGTATATACCTTGTACCCTGCGAATCTCTTTGTTTTTTGTGCGGGGTGAGTGTTTGTGTCTGTCTGACCGAAACATTTTTTTTTCGTTGCAGATTTCTCTGCAACAACTATTCGCAGATGCTTGAAATTTTAATACACTCTTTGGTTTGGCATGCTATAGAGTGATATTCATTTCGGTACAAATCTTGTCCGTCTGTCTGTGCGGGTGGGGTATCACTAGAAAGCACTGGCTCATAGTTTTTTTGTTTCCCCTGTAATTTGTGTACTTACAATTATTGTCTGTAGAATTATATTATCTGTATTGTAGGGAAAAACGAATGTATCTAAATAACGTTAACTATGAAACACTATATATATTGTTTGTATCAGGATCGCTATATGAAAAACACTGATAGTTTCTAACAAAAAAAACTATAGTTTACCAAAGTTAACTATAGTTTAATGCAGTATCAAAGTTTTAACTATAGTAAATCAAAGTAATTTTTTTTATATATGATTGTGATATTTTATGTTCTTAAATTTATATGTGCACTTTTTTAATTTTAGGGAACTACGAGGGGTGATCAAAAAGTTCTATCTCGTTATTTACAAAACCACAGTTCAGATCAAAATGAAATTTGGCACACATTTAGTCATAAACATGTTCTATATATAGCAGATATTTGTTCCACGTTTGGACGTCACAATATAAAAATGACTCAATATGTAGATGACGTGACAAAAATGGTTGACTCAGTCTTACTTGTTCAACGAACGGCTTTAAAGTTTAAAGTTTATCTTAGAAGTTCCTTTTCAGTAGTAGATAATAATTTGTACACGATTTATGAAGACAAAAAGACATGGCAGAAGTTCAATCATTAATTGGATTGATTATTTTAGTGAAGGAAGGGAGGTGGTAAAAATGATGTTTATTCTGGTGCCCAGTGAAAGCAAGCTTGGGGAGAGATGTGTCCTTATATTAGTTGAGCAATCTGTAACGAAAGATCGCCAAATTACAGTAAGAAAAATAGTTGAATATCTTAACAATAATGTAATTATTGAATCCCTAAAATATCATTTACCTTAGATTTTAAACATATCATATATGATAAAAAGAAGGCGCCCATACTTTATCCAGAATGGATAAACGACGCACCCCAATACAAAAGAGTCGGGTTGTGATGGTCACCATGCTCATTCTGCATGGAAAAGATATCCTATTTGTGACAAATGGGCTATTCTTGTTATAAAAAATAACTTGCATGGTAAGAAATATAAAACTCGGAAAAATCTTTTAATTTCTGTGAACAAAACGCTACGGAGCATGTCACGTGAACGCCTGGATCACGTGATTCGCGCATGGGCAGATCCATTATAATAAGAAAACGTGAAATAAAATGTCTAAGTTAAAAAATAAGCTGATTATTCAATAAAAAGATACAACTGAAAAATAACTGAAAGGCCACTGAAATGTATCTGTCATTCAGTCGACTGAATGGTAACTGAAAGATCACGGAAAAGTCACGGGAAAGGAACTTTTCAGTGACCTTTCAGTGGCCATTCAGTGGGTATCAATTACCATTCCGTCGACTGAATGGTGTAATTTCATCCTGTGAGAACGATGGCAGATGTGCATTCAAATCGGAGAGGACCACTTTAAAAAATAATAAACATCGAAATCTGATTTTATTTCTTTTATGGAAGTGATTCAATTAGTTCGCGAACTTTTTAATTACCCCTCGTATTCCTTGTTCATTAACATATTATCCCAAAATTTTACATTACTGATATCAATTTAAGAAAGTTTCAGCTTTGAAATCTCAAAAAAGTTCCAAACAAAGTTTCATAGTTAATCAAAGTATTTACTATAGTTGATAATAGTAAACTATAGTTAAAGGGTTGTTCGGTAAAATCGTGGACAAGTTGTCTAGAGTAAAAAATAATCATCACTAGGTTCTAAACTTTTCACTATTTTCTAGTACACTTTTCATCAATACACATAGCAAATTTCAAATAGATTTGTGCTCAAATAAACAAAATATGAGACTTTATGTTATGTGTGGTATCGCTTTACGGCGCACGTATGATAACGTCAAAGTGTATAAAGCAGCGTCACGTTTCCTCTTGCCAAAAAAAAAAAAAGTTAGGTAAGCCCCACTTAAATTCGGAAATGTCATTGATGCACATACTTGAGTTCCCCTTTATTCCTCCATAAACGGTCAAGGAACCAATCTCACACACACATGGAACTTTCTGAAGATTTATAAGTAAGTTATGGACAGTACTCTCACTATCATTCAACTAAATACGCTGTCTTATGTCGATGGTTTACAGTGACAGCGTCTTTTGCTATTGCCAGTAGCTGTTTGTTGGGATGTTTCTTTCTACCAGAGGACCCGATCAAAAAGCTTCCGCTTAGAAATCTCCCATTTCACTTGTATATTAAAGATCTAGTGATATTTTTTTTCTTCTGTAGTCATATAAAGTTTCTTAGGGCGTAATTACTGCATCTAAATCAAACGGAACTGCTCTCCGGTGCGCCGTAAGGTCACTAAACATCGCCATTTTTCGCTTGTTGCGTTTACCACTTTCCTATTTCAAATGCTCGGGAAACTGCCAAAGTTTAAGGAAATGCCTTGAAAATTTACAAAATATGACATAATAGATAGTGGATTAAAAATAGGATAATTTTTACCCCAACCTTATCTATTTAGTACTTTTATTTCGAAATAATACTCATGTATTTTCAAATGAAACCCTGGTTTATTTATCGTGGGCCGTAGGACCGTACCCTGTGTACATTCAAGCGTAATAAACACTTTGATTTTGTCTATATTTTATCCAAAAAATTACGATGCACTTAAATATGATAAATAAGCAATTGTTGAAAATTTCAGCTTAGTGCGCCAATTATTTTTCGAGAAAAAACGCTTTGTCCACGATTTTACCGGACAACCCTCGTATAGTTTAATAAAGTAAATTTTTGTTAGGAGTGCCTATCGATTGTGATAGAAATACTGGCAATATACTCCCCTTCCTTAATCATTTTATAGATACATGTATAATCTACATCATCATGCACATATGCATTATGTAACTCCTTATAAGTAGGATTTTTAATGTAAGAAAAAAAAAGATTTTTGTTTACTTTTATCCTAAAAACTCTTATATTTTTAAAACCTCGTATCACACAGCAAGATCGCTTAATTTGTGCATAGGAAAGATATGGTCAGATTTTTTTCTATAGGCTAGCAAATTTAAAGAGTGGGTTACATCCTCGTTACCCACCCCCTCAAAACTTACCACTATACATACGCTGACACGAATCACGTACTTGAACAATATTTTTGGCACAGTTGTATGTAGTCTTGCAAACGCAACTTCAATTGTGCTAATATTGCCAATTGGAAAAAATAATATGTAAATTAGGCAGAGAAGCTTTTTCATAATGCAACATTCGTTTTTTTTTTTTCTATTGGTAAAAATTATAACATGTAACTAGAAAGGGGAAATACGTACTACTGTGTATAAACTTGTGTCAATTCTTAGTATACCAAACACCTCTTTTATTAATTAATTATTTTTTTATGTAAAAAGCTTCATTTTGTTTATAGGCTTTGTTGACACTAGCAAACGACAAAAGACATTGGTAAATATTTTGAGCTAACCATTTTTTGTGTCTCTGAGATCGAATATCAGAGGAATTTTGATTTAGTCCTGTCTGTTATTTTTACACAAATTTAATTTTCCTTATATTCTTATTAGAAGTTTTTTACCAGAAAGTCAAAGATATATATGAGATCTAATTTTCTTAACAATTGTCCATTTTTTTCACGCAGATTTATTTGGGTAGAGTTTGAAAACATTAATCTTTCTTGTAACTTCAGAAAAAAAACCTTGAGACTTTATTTTCATTCTTTTTTTACATTATTTACCCAGAGTAAAATTTAAAGAGGATCATTACAATTATACACAGAAACCATGCATTTTTATTCATATATAAATTTCTCTCTCTGACACCAGCTAAGTAAATAATCTTCTTTTTTTTTTAAATGACGACTCTGGAAACTTTTTTTTATATAAAATTTGATAAAACAAATCTAAGAACACATGTATTTTTGCTCTTATAGCCATCGAATAGCGTAATAGCCTATAGTTATTTGATTTCCTTTAATGGGATAAAACATCTTGTATTATTGATGTACATGTAATGTATAGTGTAACCTTTTGTTACTAAAACTTTAAAGCTTTTAGGCTGCGTGAGTATACCCCAATGTATTTGCCTAACAAGAATATTCCTACCAAAACCAGTTTTTTGTATAGAAAAAAAGACACGGGGTCATTATTCTACGATGTCATTTTTCTACAACCCACACGGAGAAAAATGACCCCCAGGCCATAATTTCTACGAAAAAGGGGGTCATTTTTCTACGTAGAATATTGACCAGGGGGTCAAATTTCTACGGAGAAAAATGACCCCCGGTCAATATTCTACGGGGGTCACTTTTCGTCGTTACACCGGCCACCCTCACTTTTTTCCAACTATCATCTTTAACTGTTCATGGATAGGCTGGTTGCCCCCTCCCCCACTTTTTGTTTCAGTTGATCAAATTAGGGTAACGTTTTAATGTTTAAATATCATTTGGTTGTGAAATACAGGGGAATGTGTTAATGTTTGAATAAAATTTGGAATTTGAAACCCTCTCCTCCAAGAAATAGGATTTTCGAGTTTAGGCAATGTTCCTCTTTTTGCTGTCAACGTTTTCCCAGGTGAGTTGTCACCTCCTCCCCTCTTACACACGCACGTTCGAAACGATTCTACGTTCCTGATTAGGAGCAGAACCATTAAGTTTCTTTATACCCGCACTTGAATAGTTACCAATTTTATCCAATAAAATATTTTCAAAATTACACAGCTGGTACATGTATGTCATGCATTTTAATCTTTTAGTGTTTCTCATGTGGAAACCTGAAATGATGTCTCAGATCTGAAAATAACATGCTTGTATCAGCACTGTCAATCAATTGCAATTGATTGACTGAAAATTTATAGTTGGAAATGCCAAAAAATTATAAATAACATATTTATAAAAACAACTTATCTTGTGTAGATTTAGAGTCCCTGAGACGTAATACACGTACAATGTACACTTATCACCTTAGTCAGTGTTCATTTACTCTGAATTTCAGGTACTTTCGCCGTCCTGTTTTGCGCAATCATTCTTCACGGTTTTAATTTTGATTTTGATTAACATTGACAAAGTTTATCTAGTATATAAATTTTACAAGATAAAACTATCAAACAGTTCCAAATGAATAATGAATGGAAAATAAATCTTTTAAATGCAAGCAATCACTTCCTGTTTAGTTCATACTTCAATCTGTAGGATTAAATATTTAAACCATGCATAATAAGTATTAATATTACAACGGCAAAATCTACACATACGATTTATAGTTACATGTAGGAGTTGATCCACAGTGGGACGTAGGACCGATCCTTTGGATAAGAACGAATAAACCCGAGATGCTGTGTTCGCAATTGGTGCTACATGGCATGAAATACAGGTCAAATTCTGCAGCCCTTCACCGGCAATTATGTCGTCCAAATATGAGTGAAAATTTCTCAAAAGGGACGAAAACCAAACAAAAAGAACTTACTCCTTAATTTGATGGATAAATTGTTCAATTAAAACTAAATTGTAAAAATATACAGTTATATACTTACAAAATTTTCCTACACATGTCTGTAGTATTAAGATCAAGAGCAGAATTTTCTTTAAATCACTTTTTGTTTGATTTGTTTTATTTCAGCTCCAAAGGGATATAAAGAGAAAACTGCCAAATGGATATTACGCGGGAAAACCTTTGCCTCAGTTTGACGCGATTTCTTTCCGAACACAAGTTGATTTTGGAATGAACTATTTCATCAAGGTAATGCAAACTGTTTTCGAACCAAAAGTCTAAACTTAAAATCAACAAAACCAGAACATGTAACCTACTTGTGCTTTTTTTCATATCTTACAGGTAAAAACGGCACCTGAAATGTATATTCATGTCAAAATTCACAGGGATCGCAGCCATGTTGCCCGAGTCCGGGGCGTCCAGGTCGATAAAACGCTTACCGAACCCATTCAAGCATTTTAAATTGAAAATGATATAAAATGAACAATATTTGCCAAAAATCAAATAAGGTGGATTGTTCGTTGCATTATCTAAGAAGACGTTATTCCTGTGTGGCTTGTTTCATATCCTGATATATAGTTGCCTTTTGTGAAATACATTTTACCAAAGAAAAACCATCATTCATTCTTTCTCCAATTAAATCAGAATTTATTGTAGCAAATACACTGGCAATAAATTAGATATTAGACAATGATGAATACAGTACATATTGAAGACAATAGCTCTATGGACATGTAATTTCAGTATTGTTAAAAATCTTAAATTTAGGGTGTAATTTCAAGTGCAGAGAATATCAATTTACTTCTCATTCTCAAAGTGTACTAAGTACGGACTTGATAACAAGACATAATCCCATAATCCTAGGATTGAACAACAAAAAGGATCCTGGTTAAAAAAAAATAGTAGAACCAAAATAAACCAATAATATTGGTATAGTTGGCAACGCGCTATCATCAATCAGTTTTTTTTAATTAAAATACAGCTCATGACTAAATGTATGTCTACTCTAACTCCTAAATTCTAAAAATTAAAAACAGTTTATCAAAATCACTTAAGCATGTTAATGTCAAAATAGGAAGCTTTAGTTCATAGAAAATGAAAACAATTCTCTAAACATTTCCTTGGTCAGCATTCAAATACTTGGAGGAATTAATTAATTTTTCAAAGGCGTATTTGTGTAACGTCATTCCGTTTACAAAAAAAAAAATGAGTAACACAAATCAATTTCCCAGCTTTTTCCTCAGAAACCTCAGAGAGTGTTGTTTCTTTACATCCTCTAATTCCTGCAACAGTTCTCGCTCACGATCTCGCAGCTTCCGAGTTTCCTCGTCCCCAACATTTTTGGCAGACCGGATCTGACCAAGTTGACCCTTCACTCTGTCTAGCTCTCTTTTTAGTTTATCTATTTCCGTGTTGAATTTGGTTTCTATCTCTACACGCCTTTGCTCCTCTTCCGTTGCACGGTCCTTTTCTTTTCTAAGTTCTTCTGCCTTTTTCCGTAACTTTCCGCGCAATCCGCCGATATCCGCCTCTAGCTTTTTTATTTCTTTTTCCTTATGATCAACAATAGAAGCCAAATCACGATTGACCTTCTCTTTTTCAAACTTTGCCTGCAAAAGCTTTTTCTCCAGTTGCAATCTCTTCAACTCTTGTTCCTTTCTGTTGAGTTCGTTTTGCATTTCCTTAATTGTGACCATTTTGTTTTCAAGTGCTTTACCGGCTGCTTCGATGGCCATCCTCTCAAATTCGGGTTTGAGCTGTTCCACCGCTAGTTTGACCATCTGCTTTGTGAAGCTTCCGACAATCCTATCAGTAAAACCAGAACTGGAATTAGGAACAAATGTAGGACAACATAATGGAGAAACTAGATATACAAAATATCGTTTTGATGTAAACTTTAGTTTTAAGGACAACTGATTTTAAGAAATCAAAGTGTTTTTTTTTCAACCCGTCATATCAATAACCCTTATTTATTTAATTACCTATTCGTTTTTCAGAAAAATTTACAATTAAAATTTCATACCCCATGCTTCTCCTGAATTCTTGGAATTCTCTCCCCTCTTCTTGTGACAGCTCACTAATTGCATGGGACACTCGGTCTGTGTAAAAAAAAATGCTACAAGATTCAATTCACCTAGTATTCAAATATATTATTAGAATATGAGGTTTAACCCGCCGATGCGTATGATAGAAATACATTTAAACCATGCATTCTATGAAAATACCTTGCAGGGACTTGAAACGATTTAAGTAGCTAAACTTACGTGGAGTTCCATTCCTAGAAACGTTGGGACCCTCATCCTCGCGGTAACCATAATATTTGTTAGACGCCATTCAGCTTCAAAAGGAAAAAAAAACATGAAAATAAACTACCAACAAAGACGATTATTATAGTGAAATAACCGGTTATTTTTTACAGTAGACTAGCTTCCTAAAATTGAAGAATGTTTGCCAAGGTAAAGATGAATTTGAAATATTAGAGTGATATATATTGATTTCTTTAATTTGTTTGTGTTTTGCGCGGCTGTATACAAATGTACTTTGCATTATGAGCCAAAGGTATGGTGATTACGATAATCGTGAAATTAAAAACTTCATATGGAAACGAACTAAATTAAATACCTTAGTCATATATGGAAGGAAAACAATGCGTGAGCTTTTGAAAAAAAAAAACCAGAAACACTCTCCATTACAAGGTTCTGTCGACATAGACGCATGATATTCAAACACTACAGAATAGGATATTCAGAATTCTAGTTAGCGTTAACTTTTTTAATAGAGTACCTTTAACCAAACTCGGCCATATTTGTTGCCAAAAATAACCAACATAGCGATCAATATAAATACATGTATTGCTTTATTTAGAGAAAAGAATGAGTCCTAATCATGTATGGAACTGAAATTGCGTGTTAATTAAATTGTAATTTGCAGATAAAGTCATTCTTTGTGATTGTTACTAGTAATAAATGTATGAAATTCACGTTCTAAAAACTTACCGAGAAGCCGACATAGTTTTATATTCCATGAAAATTGATGTCATACAAGACATTACATATAGTAGTTGCCCCAGTTTTCCCAAAGCATTTAATTTCGTCATCATAGAATAAAATTTAACAGCAATAATTTTTAAAACATTTGTGTCTTTATAAAAAAAAAAAGAGAGAGAAATAGAGATTCAAATTTATTCAATCGGTTAATGTAATACTCTTATTCACTTACCTCATATTAAGACTGTTCTTGTATGTGTGGATGTCCGATTTTTGCCTTTAATTTCTGGATCCTTTAAACCCCTAATTCTTTATCAGTCAAGAACCAAAAACGATCGAAGAAACACAAAGAACCCTGATTGTTTGCTTGTTTTCCCCTACGTTAATCTCGGCTCTAACGACCACATGTTGTTTAAATTTTGATAATTTCACCATTTATTGCTCGGCTTGGACGTTTCTTCAAGACGTTTATGTTGTTGACTTGAGATACCTTACTGTATATAGTTTGATCGAAGGAGAATCTTAAGGTAGTAGAAATATTGTGAAGAAAGAAGGATTGATGGCTTTTATTGGAGATAACTGCATGTGAATGATTTCCTTTATTTGTATGTTTTGTTCTATATACTCATAAAGCAGTAAATAATAAGCATTTTAATGAACTTTTAGAGAAGGATTTTTCCACAACTCCATTAACTCCATTATTCATTAAAAATTTCATTATCTTGGATAAAATGAACAGTCATATTGAACATGAATATTTAGAATAGAAAGAAACTCAATGTATTAAAAGTGTACAGAGAACGTTGGTATATTTTCAATATATATCAGGCTTCCATATATTTTTAAAGAAGCCTTAACGTTAACCATAATACAGTATCTGAAATATTTAATCAATATGAAGAGAATTTAATGAATACGAGGTAATCAAGTGAAGTTTTCTTTTGCTAAATTTTTATATTGATATAAATAGTATACATGTACTTAAACAGCAGTCTTTGGAAACGCTGTACACATTGATAATCACTCCCTACAATAGCATTCGGATACAAAAAAAGGTTCCATTTAATTATAGCAATAGGATAAGTGTTTGTCTTCGGTTTATAGAAACGATCATAATCAAGCTATCTAAAGAAAAGGACTTTCAAAACAATGAATTCCATCTTAAATAAAAATGCCTGACATTTATCCCTGAACCTTTTCTTCACGAGAAATTAATTTAACCTGGTTTATAGTTTACAAGTTTCCCAAGATTACCTGTTGTAGGAATTGTTGTAAAAAGTAAGACAAACAATCTAACGGAAGATAATATAGGTCGGTTTGTAACGAACACAAACACAAAAAAGAAAATGAAAATTTATTCATCCAATACCGTAAGCACAATATTATTGTTTTCTATGGTTACGCCTCAGTTAACATTGTATTTATTATCAGTTTAGATATTTGAATGTCTTACTATTACTGGTGACGTAAATATAGTAAACAATGAGGACCTTAAATCCCTTATTTTAAAAGAGACAAAATTTAGGGGATCCCGATCTTTCCATTGGCGTCATAATTTCATAAAAGATATGAATTCTGTGGAAGATTACGCCAGGCGATAAGGCAAACATGAAAGAGAAGACCTTTCCATTTGTCAGAATGGATTAAAAGTATCAGATGGGTGGTAATCTCGTATTAAGCGATTTAGGGCAATATGAAAACTTCTTATCATTCTGTCTTTTAATAATTCAGAAGTAAAAAAAAAGAATTAGGTAGATTACACGATCTGTATATACTGGTCCCAGCTGAAAAAGCAGGTAACAACTCTTTGTTTGTAAGGCTCATTTCTTTTTTGGAGGAAATGCGTTTTAATTCTGCAAGTAGTAATCAAACAAACACCCGTAGTTCTCTTTCCAAGGAGGAAATTCTTCTTTCTTTGCTTCTTACTAAAATATTAACAGCAGTGAAGGAGAAATTGAAGAAGTGGTGTAAATCAGATATGGATATTTAAAAATCCAAGGAACTTTAAGAAACTTTGAAATCACAAACCTTTAATCCAAAACTATTTGGTTAAAATATTCTGATTGTGCACACAAGGATTCTGAACTTGATATTAAAAAGACGTTTGAGTTTCTGATAGACAATATCTATGCAGTTTTTTTGAGATTAGGTACTCCAACAATCTGTCGGAATTCTCATGGGTACCAATTGCGCAGACCTTATTTTTGTATTCATATGAAGCAGAATTTATTCAAAACCTTGTACATGAGAAGAAGGAAACACTTGCTGTTGTCTTTGACTCGACATTTAGATATATCGAGACGTATTATCAATTAACAATGGTTCTTTCATTCATATGTCGACTAGATACATCCCGGTGAACTTGAAATAAAGGATACCACAGTCTGACACATCCCTTTCTTATTTCGATATTTTACTAGAAAAAGACGCTAATAGTAACCTAACTACAAAACTTTTTGATAAACGTGATTACTTCAACTTTTCTATCGTCAACGTCCCTTACTTAAGTAGCAATAAACCCTTATCACCTGCATATGGGGTTTATGTCTCCCAATTCATTCGGTACGCAAAGGCATGCTCTAAGTACGAACTATTTCTAAAACGAAGCAAGCTATTGATAAACAAGTTTATGAAACAAGAATATCAGCAGTCTCGTTTTCAGTCATCATTCCGCAAGTTTTATGGTTCGATAACATTGTCACCAAATACTATCTATCATTAAGTTGAATGTTGACTGACGTTGTCAGGCCATTATTTACACACTGAAATGTCCACGGATATTCCGTTTTTCCTGATCATGACAAGGAGCACGCGGCGGGTATGACTAGTCGACAGTGGATGCCTTCTACTCCATACCTGATCCCACCTTTGATGTTTTTAGAGGCCCCTTTTTGCTCTGCTCAGAGGTGGGATCAGGTGTCATGGTGGAATTAGCATCCCCTACTGACCGGTCACATACGCCGTGTGCTCCTTGTCATGATCTGTAAATAACGTAAGAATCCGTCGTCAATTCAGTGTGTAAATAATGGCTTAACATTTAGTATGAGAAACGTCAGTCAGCATTTGACTTAATGATAGATAGTATTTGCTGACAAGGTCATTGTATCGACCTTAGAACTTACAATTAATGACTTTAAACGGGACTGTTGATATTTTTGTTTCGTCAAATTGTTTGTCAATAACTTACCTCGTTTTAGAAATTATTCATACGTAGAGCATGCTCTCAACTGAGAGATATATACCCCATAGGCAAGTGATAAGGGTATATTACTGCATAAGTAAGGTAAGTTGACGATTGAAAAGTTAAAGTCATCACGTTTTCATAAAGCTTTGTAGCATAAAGCATAAAACAATATACCCCCGATCTCTGATTTCATGGGGCATGAAAAAATAAACATCTAAGACAATTTTCAATTTTGTAGTCCCCCGAAATATGGCTGAAATATTGTCGACTCGGCGTTAAACAATATCAATCAAGCAATCAATTTTGTAGTTGTTTTAATCTAAGGATTTTTAACAAGCATTGTTTATAAAGACATTTTCCTCTCTTTAGCCATTAGTTTTGTTATTCTATCCTCTTATTTTCTTCTTCTTTGGTCTCAGGCGGTAGCTTCCATCCCGCCGGCTTGTTATCGAATCTGTAAATACATGTACAAAATAAATCAATGTAGATATAAAAGATACATTTGATATTTACATTTGACACGATGTCATGTATGGGATATATATAGCATAATGTTTTGTCAAGAAAGGGCGGAAAGGTTATGCAATATATTCTTTCCATGATCGATTTAGTCAAAATTCTGATTTGTCTTAACGTTTCTTTTCTCTTGAGGCTTTACAAAGTCTGCATATATTTCCCTAGGATCAAATGTGTTCAGGAATTTCCGCGGCATTAATGAAGCAGATAACACCATATTGTCCAGGTTCATCATTGGATTTTAGAAAAATCAAAATATTTCGTTGCCTTTTTTTATTTCGATGCTATTCTTGATTCAGCTGCAAATGTTCTCTCTCATAAATGAATGAAATAGTACCTTAGCGCCGACAAATTCAGAATATTTGTACCTTGTATGAACACGGAAAAAAATCGTGTAGTATTAATCATTCATTATAGATGCTCGGAAGACAAAGATCGGTGGTTTATGTACTTATTTCTGTTGACGTCTTTGTAAACGGTTTGGGTGGAGGTTATTTTGTAATTTGATAAAAATTTTACAAAATAAATTGTGCTTAAATAAATCTGTTAATTTGAAGGAGAATGATGACTTACAATCAACAAAAAACAGAATGTATGCAAAGTAGCGGTCATGAAACATCGAAGAAAAACTACTGCAACACTAGACA